TTATTTAAACGAGTTTCGGCTTCAAAGGATTAAGTGACTGCACTTTGAACGTTTTGTTTAATTAAGAATGTATGGCACGTGAGAAATGAGTAATGTCTTAGGCAATTTCGTTGTCATTTTCATACGTCTCTGGGCCACGTTTTGCGACCCCTGGGATGAGTTAAACTGTCTCAACACTGGGATACGAAATGTACGTGTCGGGGAGTAATAATGTCTGGGTAGAATAACCAAGCAAGGCGTAACAAGGTGTGCCCATTATTATTATTACAATTATTACTACGCATATTGTAATAACAAATACGCATACCCTGAAGCCACGATCCTCTGTCCAGTCTTTTACACGAACCACTTCATATGCATTGCATGAGTCTGTATTTGAATGCTAAAGAAATTCGGAACACATTTGTCCCAAGGCAAATAATAATAATAAAAAACATAACGAATCATGTCAGTGTTCAAATTAATTTTCTACGCCATGTTTTTAAATGGGTAAAGCGGTGGACTGAGAAACAAGCGAATGCTGTTAAAAGAACTTCTTGTGCCGACTCGTCTTAGGTTTTGTCGTGAGGACAGGAGCCACACTGAGCCCTAGGCCGAGCTCAATAGATGTCATTGAGCTGTAAGCTAGACGGCCTGGGTTCGATTTCCGACAGGAAAAGATTTTTCACTTCGCAACCGCTTCCAGATCAGGGGGTTTATTATTTATTTTCTTTGAGACAACCGAGTGTTTAAATGTTATTTGGATGAGCAAATGGCTTCAGGAGATTAAGAAATATCGATGGACTCGTGCGTGGTATGAATTATTTTTGGTTCAGAAAGATCAATGTAATGGTTATATTATCTCATAACGCACTTTTAAAAATTATTATGCATGTTTCTTTTTTAAATTATGACACTAAACAGAGAAAGAATAATTTCTTATCTTTAAAATATGGAAATCGTGCACATACAATTTCAAATGTCGTATCTTTGTGATTTTAAAATTGGTGTTACTTTAAAATACAACATGTTTTCTACACAGCGCAACCGTGAAGCGAACTTCGCAGAAATTTCCGATTCCTTCGCCTGAGCGCTCGTAATCAATCCATAATTAGTTGCTCAGTAGGAAAGCAGCCATTAATTGCTAAGTTATGAGAATTATAATCTACAGACTTTCGCTTGTTTGTGACATACAGACCAGCTGATGGGGACTGTCATGGCGTCCCCCCCGCAGAAACCTGACCTATTTCTGTAACCATAGTAACCCGCCACTTAAATGACAGAATCCTACAGATTTCTTAATCGAATTACGACACAACTCCGAACCACAGCTACATTTCACAAGTGGACGTATGTAAATCACACATATGACGCTGTCTCGCTTTCGTTTGTTGTGACAAAAAATTTGCATTGCGCTTTTGAGACAGGTTGACCTTTGTCGTCATGAACCTACTTTTGTAATGTCACGAAACAAGTTGTCAACAACACACGTGTTTATAGAGGCTGTGAAAAAATATTGGTCACCCTGCCAAGGTCTCGTTTCTTACAGCTAGACACAAACGGGATCCCACCTGACAAGAATCTTTTTGAAATACAGCTCTTAGAATCATTTTCGAAACACCTTCTTCATGTCTGTGCCGAATTTGGTCAAGTGAGCGGATTCACGTAGTCGGAGATACCATATCTACATCTCGGCAACGTTACCAGTTAGTTTAAAGCTTCGATACTTCCTGTGGGCATTACCTTCAATTGGGCCTTGATCACCTCCTTCCAAATCCGTACGTATTCATACGTGATTATTTTCTCATTTTATTCGACGCTATACAGTGTGTTCCATTGAAAGCTCTGGACGCTGCAAGTGTCTGAAAATGGCAGTCTCTTTCACCCCTGAGCTGAGTCAGGTTCCAGATTAAATTCAAAATTAAATTCAGTAAAATTCAAAAATGTTCCATGTTCACAGCTCAGCCAAGTAGACTGAAGCCTGAGCGAGACGCATGAAGTCAAATGACACACCAGAACTTCGCCTCTGTCACTCTGTGTTTTATGCCCTACTACAGTAAGACAGTAGTGAAGTGTTACGTATGGAGTGTCGCGCTGTATGGAGCAGAGACTTGGACACTCAGGAAGAAGGAACAGAAATACCTGGAGAGTTTTGAAATGTGGTGTTGGAGAAGAATAGAGAAGATCAGGTGGACGGATCGAGTGACCAACGAAGAAGTATTGAGGAGAGTCAACGAGCAAAGAAACATTCTGCAGGCGATTACACGAAGGAAAGCTAACTGGCTGGGACATATTATGAGAAGGAATGGATTAATGAGTGATATCACCGAAGGCCAGGTTGAAGGAAAGAGAGGACTAGGAAGAAGATTGATACAGCTAACCGACGACCTTAAACAAGGAAAGAAGATGACGTTCCAGGAATTTAAGCGAGAAGCCGAGAATAGGGACAACTGGAGAGCTCTTTTTGGGCAGAGCAATGGACCTGTCGTAAGACAGAACACTTAATAATAATAATACTAATAATAACAGTAAGACGTACAAGGGACGTGGAGGACAAGTACTGATGACGTAGCTATACACCTAGACGCTGGAAAGTGCCATGTGGTCTATTGACTGTATCACGCAGGGCTCTAAGTGGCGTTTCACAAAATCTTACTGACCACTGTCTCTCGTGTTTGGCTGCGCATTAATTTTAACTCGTAGTTTAACAGAAAATGTCAATATAAACACTCCACACACACAAACTCAAGCTGTCTCGTACAGAGCTATCACAGAACAGACCAGCGCATGCGCTTTGGGGCAACAGTAACAAACCGACTCGACCGGGCAAAATGTCTTGCGCAGTCGAAACTCATCGGCCACCACAAGACAGTAGAACTGTACGTGGCGGCGGTGAGGGGAATCCTTGAACCTGCCGGGAATCCGTGTAAAGTAGCGCACAATAATTCAAAGTGTTTGTTCTGTTTCCAAATCTCATTTTCTCCTTGAAGCCGAGCGAACATTCACCTGAGTACATAACTTTATTACACTGTGTAACATTCATATTACAAAACATTATGTTAGAAATAATTATTTTGTTACACCGTCACGCGCAACTATAAACTCACAAAATCTGTTAAGGCTACATGTTTCGCCGAATCATCTTCAGGCCGACACGCAAAACGATGTTTTGATACAATTTTACTGATGTTGATAACGCAGTTGGATTCTGAAAATTGAATATCACATAATAATAACTTATTGCATGCAGACCTGAATGCGTCGAAACATACGGCCTCACAAACTGTTGTTACCTTACGCTTGTTTGTGATGGAGAAACAGAATACCTGATTTATTACAAAACAACGGAATGCTTCAGTACAAAACTGAAATTAGAATTAAAATTTATATAAACAAAAAATAAAGCTCTTTACCAATGCACATTTAAGTCTGCTGTTGGGATAGAATGCTGTAGTACTCTCAGATTTACTTCATAAGTAATGTATATTAAGTTTCACGCAAAGAACTAATAAGAAAATCTTAAATACTATTAGAACGGATTCTAGCTTCTAATACACAACATTTTGTACACAGTTAAACATGTTTGGCATTTATTACACAAAAGTCATATATAAAATGTATACAGAATGTTCACATTTTGTGTTAATACAATAAACTTAATACTGCAAGAGGTAAAACACATTTGGAATGTACGGTAAAATTGAAAATGTATAACACGAAGGGGGGTACAGAAAAAATGGAACTGAACTGCTACCGAAGACGAAAGACAGACATCAAGATATTTTCAACAGAGAGCCAGTTCGAACAGCTTACCTTCATTACGTTCTACAAACACTGGAATGCATTATTACTTTAACACCACTAGTTACAGAAGTAATCCGCTTGTTACCACAAAACTAGGAATTGATTTCGACGTACTAAAACAGCTGTAAGTTCATTTGATAACCATATTTAGAACGATACCGTAGCTCCTTTTAACCATCTGAAGCCGAAGCTCATCCAAATATTATTTAAGAATTCAGTCCGTACCGCGAAGAAAACACCACACTTCACCATTACGAAGATCATCTGGTTAACGCTGTTTAAGGAAATAATCGCTGTTTGCAGTGAGAATCATACGAAACCCACAAATACAAACTGAAGAGTTAAAGACTGTTTAAGCAGGTGGTACATATAGTTATCACTGGACTTGAAGGAGTTAATTGTGTATGAGCGGGCAGGCTTGAGGGCAGAGGACTGTCAAATTGGGGACCCTATGACCTGTCGAACAGTCGCATGCAAATGCTTCTCCATTTCGTCTGTGAAGTGGGGAACTATAATATAAACATGCCTAGAGAAGTTGTACTGTAAATGTCGTGAAGTTACGTTGCCGTGGCAAAATGGCATTTAGTTTGTACGTTGCGTTTTCTGATAGCGAAAGCTGAAGGAAAAAATAGCCACAAATCCTTCAGCGAGCTTGGTTACACTTTGGAACATAATTCGACTGCGAAATGAGGTCACCAATTACCTAAACCGCTTGAAAAAATTCTTAAGGACGTCAACATTACCACTGTATTTTCATTAGTAAGTCGTACATAATAAAAAGATTTAAAGGATTTTTTTAAAATGTAATGTTTACATAACCGAACACGTTTCAGGAAGACTTCTGCCATATTGTGAGATTTCAGGTTCTCACGGCGGTGCGTAAGAAGATGACTTGTCTTCTGGGATGTTGCGTCATGTACTCAGAAACTGACCCGACATTTTAGACGTCCTTACTGCTTCCATCTTCAGGTCGATAAAGATGGAGGCAGTACGCAGTTATAAAAACTTTTAATTTTTTTTCCGTTTAATCGTGTTTCTGAACGCATCAGTTGATTTAAATATTTAAAAATCTCGTCCTTTATCTGTTATAATTTTATGTCGATGCATTCAGACAAGATTAATATATTATTGCTTATTTCTTTAAATATAACATAGCAGTCTTCTGGTTATCAATCTAGATTTTTTGTTATGCTACATTAATAATGTTTCAGACTCACCCATTAAACCGCGTCGCTTTCCAGGCAACTGTCTTGCTAAGACCGCGTTCTTTCTGTGATTGAGACGATCTACAACTTCTCATTTATGTATATCTCCAGTTACCTGAAGTCCCGGTCTTACCGCGCGTGCGCAAATGTTTTCCCCACTGAATATTTGTATTTAAAATCTAGGCCTACCCCATGCGTTCTTTTGACCCTCGGAATTTTGTTCGTCAATTGCTTGGACCACTCTTGCACGTAAATGTAAGACCTGGTACTTCACGTTGATGAACAGACCTTTTCGTCCGCAAAATAACTTTCTGCATTCCCCGTTGATGTTCGGCCCCAATTAAGCAAATATAATGAATGAATTCAATTTTCGTATGCTACTTGGTCGGAATTTTTCAATAAAAGCACTAGACTTCCCCATTATTCTTGTAGTAAAATTTTTTGTTCCTTTCATTCCTTCAATTTCGGATGTACCTGACAAGACGCAAGCCTGGTTCGTTCTGTTAGGCGGAGCGTGTAGAATGACTGGTGTCCTGTTTCAGGCCATGCTCCATACACTTTTGACGTTGTTTGTTCTCACGACTTTTTTAGGTACCCATGGCGATAGATAAATCACGCGCTGAAGCAACATCAGTGACCTCAGACTTCAATAAGCAAGAACCGCGAATTAATTCAAAACACTTGCCCGCGATATTTCATTACACCGGCATCCCAGCGC